GAAATGTGATTTGTCCTTTTCATGTGTTCATTTTTTTTAATTGTATCCTTTGGTAATATGGTTGTGACTATTTTCTTCCACTATTTGATCTGAGGAAGTGGGTCTGGCCCACGAAAGCTCAACATCTAATAAACCATCTTGTTAGTCTTTAAAGTGCTACATTGTCCTGCATTTTGCTTTAAAAATGAATGGTAATTGAACAATAGACAGGATTTTTTTTTAAGTATAAATAGATGATGTGTTATAACCCTGAGGGCTCTATTCGGGATTCTGTGCTTTTAACTGTAGGAACAGGAAATCTGATTCATGAGTGGGCTTCGTGTTCTAACAACAGAAAGTAAAGCTCTTTCTGTGTGTGTGTGTGTGTGTGTGTGCGCGCGCGCTTCTTGCCTTGATGAAGCTGTCTGCATGTAATGCACATTCACTAGTAAAATTCTTCAAGCTGAATTTAAAAAAATTAGGAGGCGCTATTAATACATGCGCTCTATTCAAGATGTACAGAGAAAATATGTGGGTCAGCAGCACCTACAAATTATGTACAGAAAAGCTTATAAATAAATAGATACCTCACACACTTGGTTTACATAATATTATTGGGGTTTTTTGAGGTGGATTATCCATATCCATTCTACAATCGAGCTGGACAGCAACAGTTGATAGATTAAGACTGAAATAGAAAGTACAAGACACATACAAACAATGTTAATACTGCCACAAGACACACAGGGATTTGCAGTTCACATGAATATTGATCCGGAAAAGCACTGGAGTAGATCTGTTAGAGAACATGGTTTTAATCAGTTGCCAAAGGATTTTTTACATGGAATCAGAATACTAGACTGGAAGGGACCTCAAGAGGTCATCAAGCTTAGTGCTCTGCCCTCGCAGCAGGACCATCTACATCATCCCTGACAGCTGTCTCTCCATCCTGCTCTTAAATATCTCCTGTGATGGAGACTCCGCAACCTTCCCAGGCAATTTATTTCAGTGTTTAACCACCCTGGCAGTTAGGAAGTTTTTCCTAATGTCCAACCTAAACCTTCCTTGCTGCAATTTAAGCCCATTGCTTCTTGTCTTGTCTTATAAGAGGCCAAGGAGAATAATTTTTATCTCTCCTCCTTGTAGTACCCTTTTATATACCTGAAAACCACTATCATGTCCCCTCTCAGTCTTCTCTTTTGTAAACTGAGACCTTTAATCATTTTTGTTGCTCTTCTCTGGACCTTCTCCAATTTCTCCACATCTTCCTTGAAATGTGGTTCCCAGAACTGGACACAGTACTCCAACTGTGGCCTAATCCGTGCAGAGTAGAATGGAAGAATCACTTCTCATGTCTTGCTCAGGGTGAAGTATGAGGGATCATACAAATGTTTAGCATACCTGGCACATAAATACTTTGCAGTGCTGACTACAACAATGCCATGCAAATACTTGTTGTAATCAGTATTAGTCTTACTTTCAAGTGACATTGTAAATAGGTAGCAGGCAGCATTATCTCTCATAAGTGTAAACAAACTTCTTTGAGCAATTGGCTGAATAGAAAGTTGGACTGAGTGGATTTGAAGGCTCTAAATTTTTACATAGTTTTGTTTTAAGTGGAGGTAAAAAAAATTGTACATTTGTAAGTTGCAGTTTTATGCTAAAGAGATTGCTCAACAATATTTGTATGAGATTAATTGAAAAATACTATTTTTTATCTTTCTCTGCAAATATTTGTAATAAGAATAATATAAAGTGAGCACTGTATATTTTGTATTTTGTGGCGTAACTGAAAGCAATATATGAAAATGTAGAAAAATATCTAAAACATTTACAGTAAATGTAAATTGGTATTCTATTATTGTTTAACTATAAAATTAAAACTGCAATTGATCTCAATTATTTTAATCAAGTTAAATTGTTTTGAGTTAATTGCATGAGTTAACTGTGGTTAATTGAGAACCCTAATATGGGACCAAAAAGCAATTTTAATATTTAAAACATCACTGTGATATTACAAATTGAATAAAACATCTTCTAACCAAATCTCCATCAGAGCCAGGATTATCTTGTGTCTAGATAAAGTGGCTAGTCCCTCTTGTTGTCAGAAATGTACTCAAACAACTTGGATATATGGTTTGTGTGTTCGCAGCCACAGTGCATTCTAATACTATAGACTGCTATGCATTGTGGTAAATTCTGATTAAGGGCTAGGAAAAAAGTTTCAGATGCACTGTCACAGAAAATGAGTCAGTATCTCTAAGTACTTGGCCTTGAAAATAATATAACTCAAATATCATAAAATACAAAGTTGTCTTCCTCCCTCTCCCAAAAAAAAGCAAGTGCAGAGCAAGAAGCCATTAAATCTTGCTATCCTTATCTCTGAATGGTTTTTTTTTCCAGCTACTGATAGCACACAAGTTTTATCTGTGAATGTAGTTAACTAAATAGCTGTCCCATTAGATCAGGGATGGGCAAATTCCAGTCTGCGGGTCGGATCTGGTCTGTAAGGTCGGTCCCTGGTGGGTCTTCACCTCTATATTTACCTGCACCTCTGCAGGTATCGGGTAATTGCAGCTCTTGGGGACAGTGGGAAGCAGCATGGACTGGGACACCACTTACCACTGTTCCCATTGGCTGCGAACGATGATCCATGGCCAACGAGAACGGTGATTGGCTAATACCTAAAGAGGTAAATATAGTTGCGGTGACCCACCAGGGACTAACTCGGGAAAGCTGCCTTTATTTGATCCTAAGAGTAGGAGATCTCTTTGGGCTTTGTGAGAGGGGCAGAGAATCTATTCAGATGGAACTATTTTCAGAATCTAGACTTATGTACACTCTAGATGGTAAACACCAGGAAAGAGAGGAAAACCTTTGTTATGTTTAAATTCAGTTTAATAACTTCATCTTGTCAGCTTTGTTTTGGTGTTCAGACTAAACTTAAAGCACAGGATTAGAGATATGACTAAGACCTTTGAAACTCCACAGTTGAGAATGTGAAAGTCTATATGCTGAACTCAACACTTTAGTGAGTAGAGTGCTCTCCCATTGTCCTGTAAATATCAAACTGCCATGTCTGAGATAAATATTTTCCTTACTGCTTATTATTTTTCCTTTCCTATCTAGTACAAGGATGCATTTATGAAGGCAAATCCTGGCTACAAGTGGTGCCCTACGACAAACAAACCTGTGAAAACCCAGTCATCCACTGTTACAAACAGGAAAAAACTGTGGGCTTTCCCACCAGAATCTGCAAAAGATTTATCAAGCCCCAAGAAAGTGGCAAAGACTGAAGAAATGCCTCAGCTGAACTTTGGAATGGCAGGTGAGCTTTCTGTCTTTGTTCCCTGTGAGCAGGGCTGGCCAACCTATTAAAGGCAAAGTGCCACAATAGTTGGGGGGACAGTGCAAAGGGCCACTTTTGGTTGAGCAAATAAAAAGGAGGACACTGCCCCTTTAAACAAAACTCCGGATGGCTTTTTGACCACATCAGACTCCCGTCGGCCAGCGCCATCTTGTCGGTGCCATTTTGCTTCGCTGCACTAGGCAGCGAGCATAGGGAACCAGGGGTCGGGATCAGTTTTTAGGGGCACTGGGATGGCTTCACGAGCCACAGGGGGGAAGAGCCACATGCGGTTTGCAAGCCGCGGGTTGGCCAATCCTGCCTCTGAGTATTGGCACTCTCCCTGATGGCATTAGGAGAGTCTTTGCTGAAAGACAGACAGACAATCTTTCTCTATTCCAAGAGTAGTACAATTCCATGTTCTCCATTCCATGTTACATACTGGATAGAGCCTTATTCAGGAAAGCACCCTACTTAGGTGCTGTGTACTGTTCTGAGTAGAGGTAGACTTAAGTTCATTTAAGCTGACTTACGGGAGCCTGATGTGGGCCAGAGATCTGACAGCATCTGAAAGTGGGACAGTTTCTGGTCTAGATCCAAAGCAACCCATTAGTTAGAGCTAGGTCTTTTCCCTATACAGGCAGTCCCCGGGTTACATGCAAGATAGGGACTGTAGGTTTGTTCTTAAGTTGAATCTGTATGTAAGTCGGAACTGGCGTCCAGATTCAGCCGCTGCTGAAACTGACTGCCAGTTCCGACTTACGTACAGAATCAACTTAAGAACCCCAGGCGTCCCCAAGTCAGCTGCTGCTGAAACTGATCAGCAGCTGATTCCAG